AGCGCGAAATGTCACTTTGGTGATCGAGATCTGATTTTTTTAACGAGGCGTAGCCGAGTTAAAAAAATAGTCGAGATGACCAAAGTATTTCGCACTCGAGTTGCAAACAAGATTTTTTCTACAAACGTCAAAAATATAGTTCTAAAGTAAAAATATGCTTAGCTTGATATAAAAAATAATTTTGAACTGGCTTGAAAGGCCTCCCCCTATCCTCCCTAGGTACGCACGATGTTCCTTGAACATAATGGGCATTTCCATTCGTGCGCTCCAAGAGATAAAACAAAGTTATTGTTGATTATTCAGAAATAAATGATTTCGTAGATGTTTGCTCGATTGAGGACCATATAGTTGATGTATAAATATCTCATATATTGTTCATAACAATGCGCGAAGTAGGTAGGTTCAGAAAAATCGATCACCAAAGTAGCATTTCGCGCTCTAGATACAAAAATGACTATTTCTGATCAGAATGCGAAAAAACCATAATTTCTTCAATATTTTCCAACCATGACCATGAGTTGTATTTTTGTTTGAAAATAACTTTTGACATCAAGGCAATGTGAAGCCCTGGCGTGATAGTGTTATAGTCCCGGGATCGGATCCTATATCATGATGATTTTTTTTCCAGTGAATTTCAATGGAATAGGTATATTTTTGATTAACATAAAACCCAACCCTGGAGAATGTTATGAATATAACTCTTTGTATCGCGTAAATTCATTCTACTAGTGAGTGAATTATATACTGCATTAAAGAACACAATTTATAGAACATCATTCATCAGATTTGAATAAATATCTGCGATATCTATCAATTGATTCGATGGTTTCAATTACCTAATAGGTTTTTTTCGCTACATGGGAATAAGGAATTTATTTGATTCGAAACTAATTTATCAGAACCGAGAATATAATTTTCTTTGTGTGGTTTTAGACCCTCATGTATGAATCTTCAAATAATTTGTGTAAAGGATTTAAAGAAACAGGTACATCTACAGAGTGAGTGATAGCTAATGCGGCAAAGGCTAAGGGCGGATTGTTTGGACCAAAATATTGCGATTGGACCGAATAATATGCCTCAATAAATTATTGCTGTGGACAAAAAATATACACTGCGTTCTAATCGACGAATCTCTGACTATATACTCGCTCCAAAATTCATTCACTGACTAAGAATGTAATTCTCCAGCAACAATTATCTGATAGTTCAAAGCACACTTATAATGAATACAATGATATTCGAAATCCTCTTGAGAGACTTGGAATGGTCCAATTGCGTTTTTCTCGAAAATGGATAAAAATATCGTTTTTCTGTGACGGGAGAAAAGTTTGGCATCTCGATCATCTCTGTTGTCAGGTTATAAAATGCCACTTCTCATAAATTACTTTATTCCCGTAGGAAAAAAGTGAGTACTTTTTTTCCAGATATAAATCACACATATATACACTGTTGGAGGCTTTTGTTGTGCTATAGTTTCGGAAAATGAGTCGATAATACTGTCTCCGAGAAAGAACTGCAAGTCCTTTTATCTTCCATTCGACTTCGCGGTTGCGAATATCACTAAACAATCGCTAAATTCACAATTTTTTGAAATCAAATCACAGAATCAGACCGACATTAGTGACATCAGATATTTGATTACTTCAAAAGAATGCTAAAGATGCCTACAACGCAGGTGTCCTTACTGTTAAAAACTTGAAATTTCACGTCGATAATTTCCAGATTCCAAAATAATGTGATATCTTCTCAATATTGATTCGTCCTCCCTTTTGTCACAAAAAAAATAGTGTATTATACACGGGCAAAATATTAGATTTTAGTTCACGGTTCTTTGGCTCCCTCCGCAACGCGTCGGGAGACAACACAACCTGGAGCTCAAATCCACTACTTTTTTCCCTTGTATATCAAATAAATATCATAGAGGAATGTATCAATTCCACGTGAAAATGATGTTCATGTTATATTTCTTAACCAAAATACTGAGATGTTCCGTCGAAGCAAATTATCAGTCGATTTCTTCTTCAGAAATCATTCACGTGGCGCCCCCTGTAACAAACTGTGGAATAATACATTCTGATATTCTCTGTATATGAGATTATGCCACTGTACCGATTTCGATGAGAATTGATGAGCAAACAGTGAAATTATTAGAAAAACACGAAAAAATTATTCAACTCAAACACCCTGTAAATTTTTCGACAGAAATATTTAATTACGGCATATTTGTACCTATCGCCATATTTTGGTGCAAACAGTTCGCCCTTAGTCAATCTTCCAATAGTTATGACTCACCATGAGTAGCATTTTCGCGAAGTTAATTGATTATTCACTCGTAAACAGTGAGTTGTTCAATTGTATCTAGTCAAGTTGTTCAATTATCTAGTTAATTGTAGTCCGTACTTGATGCAAATGTAGAAATGTAGTGAACAGAAATTTGTTTCGTTAGGCATTCGATAACAAATCAACAAAAGCAATGCTTGCTCACCAATAAGTATAGTTTATGCAAAGTCAGTTGAGAAAAGACATCACCGCCAGTCGTCGGTCCCTTTGAAAGTTCAAAGTGTGCGGCAGCGCGGTCCGACATTCGTTTGATGATCTGTTCAACTGACTTTGCATAAACTTTACCGACGGTGAAATGTCTGAGTACTTCCTCATCGATAGGGTTGGGGGTGGCACACTAATGCATACAAGGCGCTGATGCCAAATGTACAATAAACAATGAAATATGAATACACTCTCAAACAGAGAGTTGATAAGAAAGTAGATATATCTCGTTTTTTTTTCGAATTATTATTTTCCACCTACTGGAGCTATTGAATGTCACGAAGTTTGCAGTTGATTTGAATTCAATATTTCTTCTAGGCAAAAAATGAAAGATAATAAGCAAATCCTGTTGATTGGAAAAGAGGTAGTTCATTGCATATGGAGGTAAGAAAGCATGAAGAACATCGATTTGAAGTTAGTTTCCCTACAAAAAATTCCGAATATAATATCATACAAGAATCGACCCCTTTTTGTTTCAATCAGAACGCATTTCACTATTCGGAACGTTGTTCGTCTCTAAAATCGTGATCATATTGATATACTGGTCCAAATTTGGTAAGAGTCGCATGACTGATATCTGAGATAGAAAGGGAAGGCTGTTTGAAATGATAATGAATAATATGATTTACGATCAATGGAAGAAAGAAGTGTATTGAGTCAACTACTGAATGGCCAGAATGTGAAAAGCAAGAACTCAAACTCATTTCTCCAAATGTTCAAGAAATGAACGGAGTATTATAGGTATAGAAGGCGTAAGAAGAACAATTACTTTCCTGGCTGATGCCACGGAGAACATTGAAATATATTCTCTCAAAATCTGTTCATCGATTCGTATGAACGAATGAAAATGTAGGTGTTTCTTTCCAAAATGCAGAACTGATTTTTGATCGAAGCCAGGTTCACGCTTGTAACCTACAGACCGGTCGCAAGCTTTTGACTTTTATCAGAGTGGGGTAGTCACCGGCCAGCAGTCCAATGACTGCTGACTATGCGGAACCTGACCCAACAAAAATTTTGTCGCCAATTCTACGCCCAGAGATGCTTCCTAATGGCATCATGGAACAGCGCCACCCAAAGCAGTAGGAAAGAAACTCAAGAACTGAAATACTCATCTGTAGGTAGCGAGCGTTTATCTTGCTTCAAGTTCACGTAACTGTCTGTACGAAAGATACAAGTGCTCGAATCTTGATCACATCCTAATACCTCAAGCCTGGTATCAGAAAGTGAGAATTCAGTGAGGAAACTATGTATACTTGCACATACAGTGTGTCCACCTTAAGGACTTACCACCCCTGTAAAATCGTTATTATCCGACCAATTTCGAAAAACCTTTTTTTGTTGGATAGGTATTTGAAATGCCCATCCAACAAGAGAGTGATCTAATTCTTGGACTGTTATCGTGGCCAACTGCGACAAATTTCAATGACCCATATTCCAGAAAGTACTATTAGGGATTTTTTTCCACGAAACTTAATGATGGATTCTGAATCACTACCACTTGAAATATACCTGTACCGATTTTCATCATCATAAAACACAGGGTGTCCGAAAAAACGAATCATCATTTTCGTCAAATTGGTGATCAGCAAATGTAGTTCTGTAGTTTTTCTAGAGAGAAATAATCACAAATTATCATTGAGGATTATTTCAAATATCCCTGTACCAATTTTCGTCATTTGAATATACAATGTGCCTGAGAAAAAAATTGAAAAGGATAGGTAAGCAATATTTTTCATCCTGATAATTCTTCACTCAAAATAAAAAGATGAATCAGGATCACTTGGAACATACCTGTACCAATTTCCATCATCATTAAACATAGGGTGTTCGAAAAATCAAATTAATATTTTTTTGAGTTGATGAAAAAATATTGCCTAATTTTTCTTTTTAATTGTTTTCTCATGATGAATGATGAAAATCGGTAAAGATATGTTCAAAGTGCTCCTCAATAATAATGTGTAATCAATTCTTACCACAATACTACATTTTCTGATCACCTATTGAAAAAAAACATAATTCGTTTTTTCGGGCGCCCTGTGTTTTATGATGATAATAATCAGCATAGGTGTTTCTCAAGTGATCGTGATTCAGAATCCATCATTGTTTTTTGTGAAACAAAATCCCTAATAGTACTTTCTCAAATATGGGTCAATAAAGTTGGTCGCAGTTGGCCACGATTACAGTTCATGAGTAAAATCACTCTCTTGTTGGATGAACATTTCAAATACCTATCCAACAAAAAAATGTCTTTTGAAATCGGTCATATGATAACAATTTTAGAGGGGTGGTAAGTCCTGAAGGTGGACACACTGTATATAGCTAGTAAGGAGAACTGATATTCAATTATAATGGTATGATATTTCATTTTAAATATAATTTTCTTCAAGTTGTGACATGTCAATAGATTGGGTATGAATATTCAGTTTTGAATAGCAAAAATATATAAAAAAACTCACCTCTAGCGCTGATAAAGCGAGAACAGTGATTCCAATCACTTTCAGTGCATCATGCAAAAAGTCGGAGAATGCGCTAGAACAATAATTCCTGAACTTGGTTTTGGAATAATCTTTATTCTCATGACATGATGCAGGTTCCGTGTTGTTTGGCCATATCGTACCCGCAGTTCCACAGCATTCAAACTGAAATTGGAAAATTATCCATTTTATGGTTTGATTACCAATGGGATATTGGCAAATGTGGTATCAATTGATTAGTTGAAGAACATTCTTTGTATAAATTTTTTTTGTCACACCATCATTCCACTTGAAAAATTATTCTAGAAAAATCATTCATGATCACTTGGATAGCCGATTATAGGCAAGATAGTTTCGAAAAAGTATGATTTGAATTTTTTTCTTGGGAAGAAACGAAACAAGAACAGGTAACTCGAGAAGCATAATATAATCAGTGAATGCAAAGTATGATGCTATATGAACCCTTGAAATTTCAAAATTTCAGCTCGAACGATTCAAAAGTTACAGGGGCGGCCCGGTTCTCATGATCACTCGGTATAGGTAGTTTCATGAGTGCCCCTGTCAGTGATAAATTCTTGATATGACTTGGTAGGTGGGTATCCATCTTTTAGATGCCTATTACCATGTAAGCATGGTGTGACATAATATTTCAGTTGTTTTTTTGTTTCAGAAAGGACCAATATTCATGTTCCAATCATACATAACAGTGTTATTATAATTACTTAGTAGAAGTTTACAGATTTCTTTCCTGGTTTCTGGATTCATGATGCAGAATAGTTTAATGATACTCAGGAGAAGAGAAGTTGATCTGTCTCAAAATAACACTGTGTTAATGGATCATACTTAGTATTCCAGGTGTACAGCGATTCATCCACACAGTCATATTCTTGGACAGATCAACTTCTCTGTCTTATCTGGAGATTATTTAGATGATTCTTTCGATGAGGAAAACAAAAATCCAGAAAAAAATTGAAAGATCAATTTGATATATCGTTCTGAGTAACATCATATAAAAGTTATGAGATAGCATTGATCTTGAATGATTTATAATATATTCAACAAGGTTGTCCTTGAGAACGTGTGAGTAAATCTGGAGCATGTTGCTGACGTCGAGATAAGGAAGAAGTTCGTATTAACATATACCCAAGAGTTATTCGTTTCTGAGATACAGAGTGCCTCGAAGTTTGATTGTTATTTTGGTTTTTCTGTGAAGGAATGACGGAATGATTCTGATATTTGAGTGAGTAACCCAATTTCACTCAAATATCATGATAATTTTGGAATTTATTCCCAAAGAACAGAAATAAGAATGTAATTCCAAAACCCTTTTTTTATTAATTTTTTCTGTTTATACGAACTTTTCTTCTCACTTTGACGTCAATAACATATGCTAATGAAGGAAGGAATGCTCGAAGTGATCTCCACAAATTATAAATGTGTGAAATATTTCTCTACACTTTGAGCAATATGGACTTCTACCAAAGATATGCTAATGAATTTTTTGCACGTACTCACTCTAGAAACACCATTTATAATATTCATCATTGAACCTTATGAAATGCTCACATATGTAACTGATATATCAATTTTCTACATTATTAGACATTTTCAAGAAAAAACCCTGAAACACGTCAATTCATGTTTTTGAGAAGACACTCTGTGTGGTTTTCACGTTGAGGAGGGTGAGGAAGGCAAGATTCTATCCATGTCACAGAGTTGTTCTCCAAAAATATGATACGTGTTTCAGAAAATTAAATAATCCGTTACATATGGTGTGCACTGTTCAGTAATATTCATTAGAGGTACAAAAGCATACGACCACTATATATATGTGATATTGAGCACCTCTCTAAATAACATCACAAAATAACAATGTTAAATGAAATCCATGTTTCAATCATGTAATCATGTTCATTGGGTCCCTTCATGCTGAAACTGGGATCCGCTGAATCGGCAGAATGCTCAATGTCGGTATGCAGCTATATCAATAATTGAAATGTTTTGTGACTTTTCATAGTGAAACAATCGTTAGTATTCTCTGGTTAATTTTTGCAAGAGCATTGACAGCATAATTTTTATCGTGAGAACTGTCAGAGATAGGTGTGAGGAATTATCAGAAAAATACATGAAAAATCTTCCAAAAATGATATGATAGGTATGAAACACTGAATTGATGAATATATTTCAGACGGACACAGCATACTTGATTATCCACGCAAACACGGTGTATTTGGCGGCTTTGGGAGGGCACCAATAGGCGAGATCCAACTCATTGATTTCATGACTTAACTTATGGCTAATTTGTCCCTAATTCACGTACATTGAAATGAAACTCATATTTGCATTTCATAGAAACGAGGAGGGAATATCTGGAGAAATTGATTACAATTAATATTTCCTTACAAATACCATAATCAAAGCGACAATGACCTGTTCCTATATCTGCAGAAGTCATCATTATTCTGGAAAAAAAACCATCACTATCAGTAATACTTGATGAATTCATGCACGACTTCCTAGTTTGAGAATTGCTTGAGAATTGAAGAAGGTGATTTGTGTATTCAGAATTGATCTCAGAAATCAACCAATCATCACTCTTCATTCATAAGTTGTGGCTAAGCTGTATTGAGCATACATTGACCATCGTTGAAAACGTCACTTAGATGCTTGGAGAGAATGTGGTAAAGCGTGAAAAAATTGACCTGGAACCTCGAGATGTTTTCTAGTGTTTTCTGTATATGCGGCAATAATTCATAGTCATAGATTATGTTATCTAATCTTGTATTCGCATCAATGATTTATTTTTATTCATTATGGCACTTGAGTAATGAAAGTCTGACACACTATTGCCCCACCTTCTAGGAGATCTATGTCAAAAATGCCTTATCAGTTTGATTGTGTCAACAACTTGGATGTGTTTTTCATGTGTTCGATATGATCATCCTCAGTTTGGAACTATTCAATATTTGGTAGTGGTAATCATCACTTTGTATGGTTCAAACGAATGAGATTGTTCACTTCAGCTCTCATAATATGGCTGCCAAATAGCTTATTACGCTGATCTGGTTCCAACAGTAGCATTTTCATGCCAAATTTCTGCAATGTAGGCCTCAATATATTTTTTATCTACAAAATAGCCAAAATGCTCAACGTAGAATGAAATGTAAAATGAATACAGAAACTTGAAGTCATTTCCACAAATGATCATAAAATAAAAAGCAATGGTAGATGACGGCAGAAAAACAATCATTTTGCTGACCTGTTTTTCTCCTGTTAAAACATCTGCGGAAATGAATTCGAGTTCTTGACTTCATTTGTATATTTTCTAGTATGCAAATCACATACTCAATAGCAAACATATCATACTTATAATATGAACGGTGCTTCCCAGAGGTTTTTTCTGAATTCAGCTGGAACAGAATAGTAAGCTTTTTTAGGAAATGCTAGGACCCGTCGATTTCGATGAAAAACATTTTCAACATTTGATTTGAAATATTGTATTTCTTCACTGAATAGTTTACTTCTGGAAATATTCACACACAATAGCCTTGTGAAAAAGCAAAATTCGCACCGATCGATACTGGTGAACTCTTCAAGTACTCGCAAGTACGAGTTCTTCAGGAATCCGACCTGATACATTGTCGGCCAGCAGTCGCCTGTCGGCGAAGTCTAACTAGGGCCAAGTATACAGGGTGGGTCACGGTCGATGGCACCTTAGACGTTTACGGAGAACGGGACATAAGATCATTCTGAAAATTTGGTTACTCAAGTAATTGCTCTTGATCTATCGATCTGAAATATTTTCAGCTCTGCGGCGTTGCCGCTTCTATCGAAAAGTAGCAACAACTTTGTTATTTTGAGTAGAACACCCTGTATTTTATCGCATTTTCAGATTCTCTCTGAAGAGCTGATTCCATCAATGTATCACACTTGGGGTCTAGCGAAAATGATTACAGAGATATAGGGTGTGAAAAATCGACATTTTTCAACTTTAGGAATTTTTTTTGTCGAAACTATTCATTATTGGTCAAAACGGCTCACATGACCCTATCCCAACTTTTGATCAACTATCTACTGACATTTAATTGAAACAAATACAGGGTGGTGCAGAATTCAGATTCTTGATCACCCGGTATATGTCCCAATTAAATATCAGTAGATAGTCAATCAAAAATTGAGATAGGGACATGTAAGCCTTTTTGACCAATAATGAATAGTTTCCACAAAAAAAATTCCTAAATTTGAAAAATGTCGATTTTTCACACCCTATATCTCTGTAATCATTTCCGCTAGACCCCGAGTGTGATATATCGATGAAATCAGCTCTTCAGAGAGAATCTGAAGATGCAATGAAATACAGGGTGTTCCATTCAAAATAACAAAGTTGTTGCTACTTTTCGATAGAAGCGGCAACGCCGCAGAGCTGAAAATATTTTAGATCGATAGATCAAGAGCAATTACTTGGGTAACCAAATTTTCAGAATGATCTTATGTCCCGTTCTCCGTAAACGTCTAAGGTGCCATCTACCGTGACCCACCCTGTATATACATATATTATTATTAGCGACCGATGTTCAAATCACCCCGTAATTGAGAAGAACGCCTATCACCTTATCACAAGCGGCCTCGATGACTCATCGGTATTCGTAATCATCGTGTGATCGAAGGTTGAAGCAGGTTTGGTCACTAGCATCGTAGCATCAGAACGAATCACTTGTCAATGATATATTAATTTCATGAACGGTCATCTTTGTATAAGCCGTCCTGAGTGAATAAAAATGTGTTTGAGTGTTGGAACTGTGTCTAAGATGCCTCCATTTAGAATCTTATAATATTGTTAGCAATGGAGTTTGAATCAACCCGTGAATGAGAATGAAACGCATAGGACAAGGTGGCGATTTATCGGATTTCGTAATCATCATGGCAAGCGATCGAAGCAAGCATTTATATAATTATCGGTTTCAGAAAAAGAACGTCTTCGTTGAATCTCATGAATGGTTATTTTTGAACAAGCTATCTTGAGTGAATAAATGTGTTTGAATGTTGAAAATGTGTCTATCTTCGATGTCTAAATTCAGAATCTTATAATATTGTTCCTCATCTCATATCTATTCAGTGTGTGCAATCGCCAAAAACCTTTTTGAAGAAGCAATCATCATAAAGGCATAGATGTTTTATTCAGATGTCGGAGTCTGAATATTTTATTATCGATTCTATAGTTGAAATGAAACTTCTAGTTTCTTTCATAATATCAAATATCACCTGTCGTCGAACAAAGTCTCTGATATATATTTTGGGAATGCAGTAGACGATCACGATAACTTTGGGACAGCACTTGGTCGCGTATGTATTGACTTTGCATATTTCATGTGTTTCGCCACGTGCTGTCCCTAAGTTATCGTGGTTGGACTCTGATTCATACATCAAAATACCATTCATGAAAAATATTCATGGTGGATGATCAATATAAAATGCTCGTTCATGCAACTGCAAGAAACAGTGCTTCTTCATTTCACTTCAGAGATATCCTAAGGAATTTGCAATAATGAAGAAAATTTCGAATCAGAGATAAGGTCTCCGCGATCACTTTCGAAAGACTATATACAGACATTATCCATCAAGGGAACAGCCTATGGTTATCTTTGGCATGTCGCAGAAGAATTTTTTATTATGATCCTAAAGATAACTACTCAAAGATCTAGATGGGGGTTTATATAACGAGCATTTCCAGATAGGCGCAAATTTCACGATACTTGAGGTAAATCGACTATACAAAATGTGAACAAGAAAATGAATCTGACATTCACATATGCATATGTTTCTGAATTATGCACGACCAATATACAGCATGATGATGAATTTCAGGCCATGGCAGCTGGAGACTGAGTTATTATTTCCGTGAATGGTAGGGTGGTTCGAAATTTTATCCAATTGAGGATTCATATCAATGACTCTACTTATCTTAGAAACATTCTTTGAATCATGACACATTTGTGAGCTGGGTTTTTAGTTTTTCCATGAATCTTGTTTTTATATTTATATACCCAGATGGAACATAATATTCCTGGAAAATATAGATAAGATGAAATAAGATTCATTGTTCATCTATTGGGTATACAGTATGTACATGATATAGGATATTTACAGCAAAAGTGTTCCATTTGCACAAGTTACAAACGATATGGACACACACAAGATATTTTGTGATGTTATACGCTTTGGAATATTGACGTAATAGTCTGCTGAATTGCAATAATCGAAAAATACAAAAACTACTGATAATTCCTGTGAGATCTAACACCTGGCATCATTAAATTATTTCATGGAGTAGAAGCCCTCATTCAGCAAAATCGGCTGTGGTTATTTTTCCAATCATCTATGATCGTGTAATATTAATTTTTCTCTGGGAGTTTATTAATGGCATGAGACTCGTTATAAGGCATGTTGGAGATCAGCCATCAGAATCTCTCCTGAATAGTAAATATACGGCCCCGTCCACTTCTACTGATCGTCCCAAATTCTGATCTCTGTTTCCATTATTTTGTAAGAAAAAGAGTTATGGAAATTCAGAAGAAGATTTAGATGGAAATTGTTTTTCAAAGTGATAAAAGCAAAGTATGTTCCATTCAATTCATTTGTACATTGAAAGCTTGTGTGTTCTCCAAAATCCAACTCACTGCCCAGTTGTGTTTCTGAAAACATTGTATGTGTTAGAAGATGTCAGTGTAGTCGATCCGATATTGAATTTGATATCATTTGTTGCACCATATTTGTTGGTGAATTTCATAGACACAGAGTTGTTTATGGGTGATTCTGGTGGCACCAGTCAGAGAATTTTCTCATTACGTGAAATAGTTTGTGTTCTTAGTTCTTCAAGCTATCTGATGACACAATGATAATGGTATCATCTGATTATGTGAATGCCCAATGAAAAATGGAATATATATCATCCACATACAGACGAAGAAGGAGTGGTCTCAGGACGAAATGCTAAGTTCTGTTATTTCATCGCCTGAGAAACTAATCTGTTACTTCAACCTGAAAATTCCTATCATTCATGTTCAAATAACACCATTGGTTCATAGATCCACGGATTCCGATTGTCTTCAATTTTCCACACAGGAACATAGGATTCTTGGTTTCGAATACCCTAGACAGGTCGGAAAATATACCACAAGTAGAAGCAGTTTCGATAGAGAAATTTTCACGAAGACGATATTGGCATGAGGTATTTAATTCCTTCTCATTCAAGAATTCATCATGAACAGCTTTTCACATCAATTTGGAGAAGGATCACTCTATAGTCATCTATAATATGTTTTTCTCCCCGTTCATGTGATGAAAGAACTTTTGATATTTCTAATTCGTTTGGAACTTCACTAATACAAATAGAGATGAATATCTGCTGAACAATTTGAAATTGAGAAACGACTCTCGATCATTCAATTCATCCATCCATCCATCCAATTGGAATGTTAATTCTCGAAATTGGAAATGATACTTTCGATTCTGAAATGATCTATGGGCGGAAAATACATGTGTGCTATTGAAAGTTTCGAAGTAGTAAACATAGGAGGAAGGGGATTCATATCTTTAATCGTTTTTTCATGGATGCTGAAAAATAAAAGGCAAAAAGATTGGAGATATGCGTGTTAATTGATATAACTTCATTTCTGATTTTCAGATTCATGTTTTCATTTATTTTAATTGGATTTCATAGTGTTTTATACACCACATTCAATAATGATCTCGATTCACTGTTTGAGTTCAAAATGTTATTCTCAGAATGGTTCTATTTCTCTTCTATTTTGTTTTCAATTTATTCACTCTTCTGCATAAAAAGAGGCTTTTCTCGACACTCAACAGGCATCAGCAGAAGTGTACTTTCTCTGCCTAGGTAGGAGAAGTTAGTGGGTATGCAACGTTCCGAGTTATCTGAATGAAATTGGTAATCGAAATTGACATACTGGCATTGGGTGAACAAAAAATGATGGAGTTTCCAATGAAAAAATTAAAAAATTGGTTTCATAACACTGGGAGAAAAACTCATATGTTTCACATGGCACCGCGGCAGTCAATCTACTACTTTGCTGCCTAGTAAAACAAATAACTATTGCCCTAGTATAATTGCCCAAGCCTAATAATTGAAATATTCATTCTTTATTCAAAATTTTTTGGGATTTTTTCTCCTCGGTTCCATAAAATAAAAATGGAAATGTTATTTCAATATACGTGTAGTAAGGACAAATCAGATGATTTGCCCCAAAATGTTATGCGTTTAAAGAATTTTTCTATCAGACAGCTCACCAGAACAATCCACTAGCTTGTCAGTGACAATTTGTATTAAAAAAAGTTTGGAGAAGAGAAATAAAGGTATATAGAAAAAATATAAAATTTTCACTTATTTCTGGACTTTCCGGGACCGATTCTGCTCCCGTTTTCAACATAAGAAAAGAAGATTATTTCAATACCTTTGCTATCGGTGCCGAAACGTCCAAAGATAAGTGAAAATTCAATATTTTTTCTATATACCTTTATTTCTCTTTTCCAAACTTTTCTCAATACAAATTGTCACTGACAAGCTGGTGAATATTTTTTTTAGGCTCTCTGATAGTAAAATTCATCGAACGCAGTGACATTTCGGGGCGAATCATATATTCATATTTTCATTTTATAAAAACGAGGAGAGAAAATCCCAAAAAATTTGGAATAATGAATGTACCACCTCCTCGAATAACCTACAGACAGTATTTATGAAATATTCATGTTTTTTTATTTTCAACAACTGCAGTTCTTCTGATGATATTAGTTTTAGTTTAACGTGTTTATTATTCACATATTTGATTTCTTGTTTTCTGAAGAAATTTTGAAACACCATTTATTGCCTAATCAATTCTATTTTCGAATATATATATTCAGAAATTCTCCTGGATATTCTATGATTATGCCTCTGATCTTGTGATTTTCATGAAGTGTGTTCTGAATACTCACCAAATATTATATCGTTTTAATCACTTGGAAGTGTCAATGAACAAGAACGAAGGAACTATTAGTATAGAATCATTTTTTTTTTTCTTGATATGAATGAAAGCATAATTCATTCTTGAACATCTGAATTCAACTAGAAAATGAGCAGCAGAAAAAGTGGGAAGCACTATGAGATTTCATTCTTCAGGAATAATTTCTAATGATTTGAGTGATAAGTTGCAACAAATGGAAGAAACTCACCTCCTGTTGTATCAGGTCAGCAAGCTCATTCTGACTGCTGTTCGTGGAAGTGTTATATTTATTGAACAAATTCGTAAGTGTTTGGTCCACTTTAGACTTGAGAGTCGCATCATCTTTTATCTCCAAGAAAGCAAAAACACCAACTGCTATTTGTAGAAGGAATATCACCAACAATATCACCGAATACTAAAACGAAACAGACATTATACGGTTGAGCAATGGAGCATTAATTTCATTTTTATACCAGGTGACGTGAAACCAATTGACCCTCCTGCATCTTCGTTGCTATTCTGTATGCATGTTTCAAATTTGGTACATCGATTTGATCTCATGAGTATGAAATACCGCTATATCAGACAAAATATGTTACTTTCGGTTTGACCAGAAGTGCATTTTTTTTTCATTTCAGATACGAAGGGTGATAGCATTATTTTACCTTTCCAACGATATATACCAATCAAACTTTCAATCTACAATCGACTTCTATAATCTAGATCTCATGAAAAAAGACAGTTTGTATTCCCCTCGTGAATTGTGGAAAAATATTCAAATGATGATGCCATGATAATCCTAGACCCATAGCAGAAAGTCAACATCATAGCCAAATATTATAAAGTTGAAAGGTATGGCATGGAGATTAGCATCATCAAAACGAAATTGGAAACATTAATCTGGAGTCCTTCAACTATTATGAGTTTCAGTATGTATGTGAATTTCTTACCAACTTTGCAAAACTCAATTATAGCATGAAGAAACAATGAGTTTTTTGGTATTCTTGATTGAAGAGGAACTAAAATTTCTAAATAAGTGAGTGTTCATTGAAATTTTCGTGCGAAATCTTCAACATAGAATTATCGTTACACGTTACTTCCATGAAAATATTTCGTTACGAGTGGAATACGAAAACTTTTTTCTTCAATATTGATCGAAACTATGATTGTGATATATGACTAAAAGAGTAATTTCATTCTGAATCGTAATTTTCATGAAAACAAACTTTGTATTCGGAATGAAAAGAATTTATGAACTTCTGGTCAAACCGGAAGTGCCATACTTGGTCTGATATAAGCGATATTATACGAAGATACAAGTGGATGAATAGGTTCTGGTCACACGGTATTATTATCACGAATAACAACTACTCACCGTAGTTAGAAGACAAGGACTTTCTCTGATTGCTCCGCAGCACCCGAAGAAGGCTATGACAAATATAACGGATCCAACTACAATGGTGAACGTTGGAGCCAATCCGATATTTTGGAAATCATTAGGAATGGCATCTAAGTAGTCATTGATATTGAGTTTGTATAGCACCCCTACTACTATGAGTGCCAATCCGCCAAGCTGAAATTGAAATGAAGGAGAACTATAAGATGGCGATCACTTAGATAACAAATAGACACCCGATTCGCCATTTTCGTTAGTTAATCTCTGGTCAATATCGACCTTCCTCAGCGATTAGATCAGGTGCGAACAGGGATTCATCAAGTCAAGTAGCTTGATTTTTTTCTTCATGTTACCCTTGTCACTTTATTTCAGAGTAATTCTTCTCATATGATTCTGATATTTCACATTGCATTTCTTGTCTTAGCCTTTGACATGTTCAAGAAGAAAAATTGGAATTTCATTATTTTACTACAATTGGATTATTTTCATGTTTGATACAAAAGTTTTCTAACACAGGAGATCCGCACATTGCGGTTTTCTTTCTCAATTTCTTCAACTTTAAATATATTATGTATCAGTGATTCTACATTCATGTTACAATAAGTTCGTGGATTGCCTCACATGGTTGAATTTTCATCTTGAATATTTGATTCGACTTCATACCTCGAACTTTTCAAAATTTTGATATTTGACTTGACCCGATTTACAGATCGAACTACCTGACTTGATGTCTAGTAGGATCAAATCACTTATAGATATGAATTTTAGAAAGAAATCCATCGTAACTAGAAGTGAAGTTTTGTAATTCATAGATGAAAACCCGAATTCATTTCCACAACTTTTATTGACAGTGTCGATTGCTCTCGAATTGTTCTTATATATTTCTCATTCGTCAACCGTTTTCTCGCTCACGGGCAACCCTCAGAAGTCTTCAAGAGACTTGTGACGGGAGTCGTAAGAAGAAGGCCATCAGAAAAATGTTTGCGGTCGTGAGAATCGAACTCACGAACCGGCAATCCAACGTGAATAGGCTGTTGACGTTTTTACCATGTGGCTACCTGGCCTGGATCAAAGATTAATTGAAGATGGTAGTTCTGGGCTTATACCGGGTGTCCGGAAAGGTCATGTCGTGAATGATAGGGCTGATAAGGTGAGCCAAAATATTGTTAGTACTATACATAAAAACAATGTCTATCACACCTCGTTACGGAGTAAGTGACCTCAAGAGTTTTATTTCAAAGAATACCAATTTATGTATAACTTTCCAACGGTAGCCATGGAAAAAATAATATTCGTGCAACTAAATTAACTCTCGTTAATGCTCCAATCGATATGTGATCATGCTTTATAAGGGTTGAGGCGATTTTATTTTTGTTAATGACAGCTTTTTTGACAGAGGTGACAATTATGACATTTTGCATTCTTTCACCGATTGATTCCTTTATGATTCTTATTCAAAAATAGTAAACCCTCTTTTGATCGATATCTTGTACCGTTCTAGTGAAAATACATATATAAATCCCAACCGTTTTGAAGGTGGGTAGTAAAAACTCCGTTTATTAGAAAACATTTTTGGCGTCTTGCTATCTTCAGATACGCTACTGCTTGCTTGCAATGTGACAATGTTTCGTGTTCAATGAATTGTGATCATAGGCTAACATTAGAAGTGGAATAAAATCAGCCAGTGCTTTGAAGAAGTAACGGAAGGCAACTATTTCGGCGATTTCAGTGCACATAGAAAGCCATGTGGGTTTATTCATTTCCCGTAATGAATTGACAAAGTTTCGATGTTTTCATTGAGCTGTAAGTACAAGACTTGTATGAGATAGACAATACCGATGAAAGATTAGTACGAGGGCCTAGTAACAAAGAGTTTCGTGTTCGAACCTGAGATACAGTATATTTCCACTGTTGGTCTCGAAGGGCGTCGTTGATTGTGTAACTTTGGTATTCCGATTTAATATCAGGTACCTATTGGCGATTGAATATAGTGGACGTTTATTTTCCAGTTCTCGATTGTATTGGCGTAGCACGAAATTTATTTTGGAATTTTGTTCAAAGAATCTGCAATTTCAGGATGTATTGATTTTGATGCTCGTTACATAATATGTTTGATAATTCCATCCACACCTGAATGTACCTATGAAACTTCATGATTGAAGTCACATGATATGCGACATCAGCGGCTATTCAGGTGAACAAACAATATAAGCGGCTTTTCTGATCAATAGCGTGAGAGTGATATGGTGAATATCAAAGATTGACATATATCAGTCATTCAGAAATTGAAATGTCTCGTATTGGGTCAACTTCCACTACAGAAATTAGCGATTATTTTCTCTCATTCCTCTCAAGTAACTCGTATTTTGAAACAATTTGATTGGACCAAAATCAAATGCATCGGTAAGACTTTCTTCTCATGAAAATGTTTTTTTTTGCATCAGGCTTTGAAAGAAACAAATTTGATCCGAGGTCACTGTGAATATTTCGCAGTGATAGTAAGTTTTTCAGGGTTCTTCACCTTTTCTCAATGTTCAAAATCAATTTCTTTCCAGATCATGGAGCATTTTGCCTTGTTTGCACTATTATTAACTATACTATTCGTATGCCTACTTTTTTCATTTCCATGTAAGTACTAAGTAATTCTTGCATCTACCCAGCAAACATCGAAAGGCGGTAGAAAGCCGGGCCCATGGCGAGAACGGCGGGCAAATGTCGATGCCGGCATGCCTCGAAAGGCCCTCCATATAATTTCGAAGGATTATATGACGGAGGCAGAATTTACACATACTTATGATGGGCCTCTGTTTCCCAGCCGCTAGTCTTCCGCTGTATGTATCCAAGTCCAAGGGCCATCAAAATTTCAACGGAGTGTGCCGTCATCACTCACTCAACGTTGGCATCCCTCGCTCGCGTGACTTTTTATTTCGATCATTTTGCAGTGGTAACAATGATTCAGTATGGCGTATATTAATTTCTTTGTTTATGTTGTTTCAACACTCTCAACAGAGATTTTAGTACTGTGTTCAGTTCGTGTTTGGTTTTCTAGTGGATTTTTATACGAAATGGAAGGTTATTACAGAGTGAGTGGAGAACAAACATATATACAAACTTGCACAGCTAAATAATTCCCCTATTTTAGATAATAATTTTACAAACACCATTGGACAAACAGATGCAATAATAGTTTGGACATGTTTAGCGGATACACAAGAATCTAATAATATAATAATATGAGGACTTTGAAGATGCATGAGCTTTCATTACATATGAATCATAAATCTATTTTCAAAACGAAAATCAAAGAGTACTTACTTGAAGAAACAGTTATATTTCAAGAATTACTGTAGGTATGTATAATGTTGCATGTTTTGGATTAGTAGAGAATGAAATTATTCACTCTTTCAGCTACAAAATCAACAACCAGAAGCCCATCAATCACAAATATTAATGAAGAAATCACACAATGATCCAGACTATGATATAAATTTCTTCATGGTATATGAATATGATATCTCACTTCCAGGCAACACTCATATCAGTCATATCAATATGATAAAGAGTGAGGTTCTCCATATCTGGGAATTGTGTTCTTGTGGATTGAACTCTATTGTTGACAATAACATGATCAATATAATAACTGATTACCTACATACATAACTTTCAAGTTATTAGGTAGGTACATAGGTGATGTAATTTTTGACCTAGAGTTTTTGAAACAAGTGGAGAAACAAATATCTATCCTGCATGATGAAACACAAATACCTATTATTGTAAATTGTAGGTACCTTTTCATGATGAGTATACAGAGTGATATGTAGAACTAAAATTAAGATGTTTGATGTTTCCATAGTTGTGATATGTATTGTTTGAGATCATGGCAATAATATACACACATGGATATTTTCAGTTCTTGTTTTTGTATGGGGTATTTATACTGCTAGTTTCCTGGAAATAACTGTAATATCAGGATGCTACCTCAGAGATTTTTATGTAATTATTCAACAACTTCAGGTAAGGAGTGAATTCCACATTTCTGTTATACCCAGAGAGGATTCACAAAAAACTGGGAGACCTCAATTCTGTTTTTTGAAGTTCCACATTTTTCAACCAGTTTGAAAATAAAGAGAGTGATGAAGATCTGAGTGAAAATGAGATACTTTGCTTTCCAAAGTGGTGATATAAACTGGGATACCTTTTCAAAAAAAACTTATTTTCACTGGGATATATGCATTACCCCTGTATATTTTTTGACAAACCTAGTTGAAAAATAGGACATCAAAAAACAGAATACCATGAATATTGAATTTATTCAACCCCGTTAACCAACGGCCCTGAAAAACTCCTCTATCGGGGGAATAAAAATTCTCAAGCGGCCAATTAATGACAGTCTCTGAAAAGTCTCAATCGGGCCGAAGATATGCCATGAATGCGGTACATTTGAGTACTTGCTTCTGCCCACCAGAAGCCCTGCAATGTAATAAGCGGCATACTGATGGCTCTAGAGAGGCGGTCGGCTGTCGGCCGCCGGGACACGGGCTAGCCGGCCCAATTTAGTTGTACAATAGAGGACCGCTGTTACCGCTCGCCGGCAAGTTTCATTGTACCTTTAGAGGGCCGCAAAAATCATGTTTGCTGGGTATGTTCTAAGTCAACACTGATTTTTCTAGAACTATGATATTTTTCATTGGCTGATGATACATATAAGCCCAAAACATGTTCCTTTGAGATTGGTACCGTCTTTGATCACTCTAATAAATGTTGTGGAGATGACTTTGGGTTTTCATCTAGGAACCCTTTCTTATTCAAGTCGGCCCTTTTCAGGGACATTACGTTCATGATAGAGAAAAATGATTAGTTTAAAAAAATATAAGTATCAGAGGTTTCCGTATAAGATTTTCTTCGTCCTCAATTTCAGGTTAGAAACAAGATATCGAGATAAGGTTTTTTGCGACCTTGTTTGGGCATCATTAAACAACGTTTTCATGAATAGAGAATCATACCGATACATTCAATTTGTTTTCGAGAAAATCAACTGATTCTGTCGGGATGTCGATAAAATCGCTCTAGCGACGACATGTGTAACTAACATAACCTTGAATATCATGAAATTGTAATTCAAGAATAGCTTCTTTCAACTAGCTCGAGTTTGTCAAGATCGAATTGGCCGTTTCGGA